ATATATATATATATATATATATATATATATATATATATATATATATATACACACCAATAAAAAAGTTTTTTTTAAAAAAAGAATCACACCATTGAGCTGTATGTATTTATTGTTCTAGAGCTCCTCCTGCAACAGCCAAAAGGAAAGAGAATGGCATGGTGTAGCCTTCCTGCAGGACGTCCGATCTGGTAAACATAGACTTGAAGTAGGCTTAGGGGCGTCTTGAGAAGAAAACTGACCCAAGGGGAACCAGCAGAACCCAGGGATAGAGCTGCATGTCTGCAGAGGTCCCTCCTTCCATTCAGAATAATAAATAGCAACACAGACGTTGTTAAACACCACGAAAAACCTGTCATTACTTGCAAAGTATGTAAACAATACATTTTGTATTTTTGCACCCAGGAAGAGGAGGCTGCCCACATGATCCCTTGCTGGACATGAGGGAACCACAGCCCTTTCTGGTGCTGCCCGCAGAGATGTGATGGGGAAGCCCTTGGGTTTCTCATCCTGCCTTCATAGCTTCATTTCCGGTTAAAGATCCAACTTCTCCCACACTTTCCTATGGGACATTTTTATCAGGGCCTGATACTCTTTGTCATCAGCATTACTTCCTTCCCCTGAGAATAAATGCCTGTGAGCCAAACACACTTGAACAGGAAGCAAATGGAAGTGGTGTTTGGCCTTTGTGTGCCTGAGAGTCTCGAGGCATGATGCGTTGCCAGGCTCGGACTAAGGAAAGTTGCTATTCTCAACACTGTTCTGCACTTAGCCACAAACCATGGTTTGGACCCGTGATGGCAAACCTATGTGGTGGCATTCAGAGAACCCTCCCTATGGGCCTGTGTGCCATCGCCAGCTGCTTTGCTGGTTTCCAGCATGCCGGCCGGCATTGAAGCACCGGAAAACGGCCTGAAAACGGCCCAAAAACCAACCTGAAAAAAGGCAAAAAACAGACATGTGCATACCAGCCAGCCGGTGTTTGCGGGTGCTGGAAAATGCCCCCCAAACAGCCAGTTTCCGGCTGTTTTCCAATAATTTTTTGGGCCATTTTCAGGCTGGTTTTTGGGCCGGAAATGACCTGAAAGCAGCCCAAAGAGATGGGCAAAGACCCGGCGAAAACCGCCCAAAAATGCATGCGTGCACCAGCCAGCTAGTATTCAGGTTTCTGGCGCTTCAAGGCGCACAGATGCATGCGCATTCCAGTTTGGGAACTAGATGCCAAAAAGGTTCACCATCCATGGTTTAGATGTCTGGATTTGGAAATCCCAACTTAATCACACTCTACTGTATTTCCCCGAAAATAAGACCCTATCACATATACATATATATTGCCACCAAAAAAGGCACCAGGTCTTATTTTCTGGGTGGGGGATGTCGTCCACTGACTCCTCACTTGTGCGGATCTTTTTCCCCCCGGTTATCCAGCTAGGACTTACTTTCTGAGTAGGTCATATTTGGGGGGAAACACGGTATTAGGCTTTGCCCCTATATGTCATTGCAACCATGCTGCAATTAACATGGGGGTTTACATCAGTCTAGACCAGCAACTGAAAGGAATGAGGGCCATAAGTGTGGACTGGACTTCCTGCCCAGATGGGACCCTCCCTGCCGGCTCTGGGAGACACTCTTAGGTCACTGAGCTATAGAGGCTCCTGGAGCTGAATCGGGGGAACATTCCACCTAACAGAGCAAGGGGTCTTCGTGTCAATTGCATCAGCCTACCAAAATGTCCTTGGCATATAGTTGCCCAAACAACCCCTTTTTCTTTGGGGTTTTGAGGTTCCTCAAAGTGTCCTCAGAGAAGATGTCCACGAAGAGAACTGGCCTAAGGAACAGATCCCATCCTGACCATGCAGCAACGTTGCCCCCCACATTAGGTGAGGGGTGGCTTGACTCTTTTCCTTGCTCCTACACCACAGGCAGCCCGTGAAGTTCCACAATGTGACAAAACAGAAGACAGGGAGCTTCAAAACAGAATTGGGACAAAATCCATCATTAGACCCCTGCGACTGTAAGGAAAAACAGCCCCAACACGGTTGTTCTTCAAATAATGTTCTGCTGTCAAGCCAACTTGCAGCAGGATTTTGCATGCAATTCCATCCAGATCTGATTTTTATCAAATGTTTTCCGTATTCCAAGAAGACACAGCAAGTTGAGTAAAAATACACTGTCACCATTGGCTTTTTTTTAGTTCCATGAATCCCGGGAATGCTGTTTGTTTATGATTCTGGTCCAAGAGCATCCATGGGGGATAAAACAGTCAAAAGTGCAAAGTTCTTTTGGTTTTGGTTTACATGTGCTAAATGTTCAATGTTTATAACAAAGGGCTTCAGGCTTCCCTTTGCTGCCTTATCCAACCAAAGCAGAATTCTTCACGCAATTCTACCATTTTTCCTATGGGAGCCAAACAATGTATAATGTGCAAGATCGTCACTTCCTCTTCTCTTTGATGCTCCTTGTTCTTGATGGTGGAAGCCCAAAAGCACTAAGAGCATCTCTGCAATGGCTGGCAGGGTCCGATGCTACGCAAAGTAGGCCCAGAGGAAGACCCCCGCGCTGATGCACAAGATCAGGTTGATGTTGAGGATGTGCTTCACCAGAGGTGCTTCATCAAGGATGGCTGTGACTGCAGCTTTGGGTTCAGCAGGGGTCCCGGGCGAGTCCTTATCTCTGCTCTCCATCCCACAGACCCACAAAAAAAGGCTCATGAATTTAGACTCCTTCCTCTTGGTGTCCAAAGGACCTGCAGGCAAGACAATCAGTAGTGAGAAGATGAGGGGACTGGAGGCTAAAACGCTGATCCCAGAATGTGTCATTATAAATTCTAAAGCTCAGGTTAGTAGATTTAATGTCCTAATTCAACTTTTACAAATTTGCAAGGGCTTGGGTTTTTTTTTTTTTTTTTTTGGTTTGGCAAGGCCCNCATTAAAAAGCGGGGGTGTCCCGCCAAAAGCGGGACGTCTGGTCACCTTAATCTAGTTACTTAAGACCTCCTCCTCCAAAGGGAAAAAAAGGCCAAACTTTCCTGCCACTTGTCTAACATCATTACAACAGCAGCTTCAGGCTTCTTAAAATAGAATAAAAAATACTTTTAATGGATCTCATGGCTGTGAGAAACATCTGAAAGGCTGTTTTTAAAGACTTTTGGTGACTTTAATGACTTTTAAAGACTTTTAATGGATCACATGGTTTTAGCGGGCCATATCCAGTCTGCGGGCCATAGTTTGAGGATGCCTAATTTAGAGGTTTAAGTGGTGGCAGCTCTGACATCACCCAAGAGTGCTCAGAATTACCTTCTCGTTTGTCCGCTTCCAAAAGCATCCGAGGATAAACACAATGGCCACCGGGGGCTGCAGGTAAGAGCTGATGGTCTGGATGTAGATGAAGAGCTGTCCACCCTGGCTTGCCTGCACCAGTGGGATCCACAAAATGGAAATGACGACAAGGAGCAAAACAAACACCCTGTGGGGAGAAGGAAGGCCTGGTCATTTGGATGACATGCTCTTCAAACTGGGGATGAGCAGATCATGGCAGAGAGTGAAGGTCTTCTCCTCAGGAGCTTTGGAACGGTGGATTTGGACTGAGCAAGGTTGAAAAAAGCTCTCTGGCCTTCCAAGAGCACAGCCCTTCTCTGCTGTTCATTAAAGGATCCTGAGCTTTTTCAGGCTTCCGGGTAAGGAAAAGTTTTGTTAGGCCTGCTATCTTCAGCATACCTTGCTTCGCTGGCATCCTGCCATAAAACACAGGGGAAGAGGGGAGGAGGATGGGGAAATAGGGAATGGGCAAAGGGAGGAAGGGAGGGGATGATGGGGTGACAGGAACCAGAAAAGAGGTGGTATTCAGCAGGTTCTGACCAGTTCTGGAGAGCCGGTAGCAGAAATTTTGAGCAGTTCAGAGAACCAGTAAACACCACCTCTGGCAGGCCCCGCACCCATCTATTATCTGCCTCCTGAGTCCCAGCTGATTGGGAGGGAATTGGGGATTTTACAATGTCCTTCGCCTGGAGTGGGGAGGGAATGGAGATTTTGCAGTAACCTTCCCCTGGAGTGGGGAGGGAATGGGGATTTTACANTTTTTTTTTTTTTTTTTTTGGTTTGGCAAGGCCCCTCAGCAAGGGATCTGTTGGGCTTTGCCAAGAATCTCCTCTAGGGGTCACTACAAGCCTGTGGAATTCCCTTCCTCCCATTGGAGGGAGAGGGAGAGAGGGGGGGCAGCCCTGGGGATTCTCAGATATTGGGGCTCCTATCAGCACCATTTTCCAACCTCTTTAATGCTTGTGGGGAGGGGGACACCCATGATTTTGTAGCCAGGATAGAAGATGCTCAGACTTACTTTTGAGCCAAGGAACTGCTTTGTCCCCAGAAAAGCACATCTCAGCCTCCCTTAAAACAATGGAAATGCACCCATAGCCCCTCCTGTCTGAGTGTTCGGAGACCTATTGCACACCTGAGTAAACTGAGGCAGCTTCTTGGAGGAGAAGCGAAATTCTTTCAAGGAAAAACCCAAGAAACTCCAGTTGCCTTTTGGAAAAAGCACCTTTGGGACAACTGCAACCTGGATAACTCTCCAAAGACAATGGAGCAATCCATCTCTGGATGCCAATGGGGGATTCTGCTCCTGCCCAGCCTCCGTTCACGAGGCCTGGCTGGCTTCCTGATTCACCTGCACTTGGAAACCCTCCCCTCAGAGTTTGGGAGACAGAAACTCAGATGATCAAGGCTACCTGGGCTTGGGAAGGAGGAGATAGGATCAGGGGTGGGATTCAGACGGTTTGAACTGGTTTGGGTGAACCGGTAGCTCCGACAATCAGCTGGGGAGCGAACCGGTTCACTCTGATGATCAGGTGGGTCCACCCGCCCACCCCTGCGCTTTACTTACCTATATCCTCTCAGCTGATTTGCACAGATTCCCACACCTCAGCTGTGTTACTCCCCAGAAGTAATGTGGAAGGCAGAGGTGGGTTTCGGCAGGCACTACTGCTGGTTCACTCATGTGCGCGCTTGATGCGTGCTGCGCGCGCATGTGCAGTACAATTAAAATTCTGCGCATGCGCAGAACTGAAAAACAAGATGGCGGCATCGACGGCGCCACTCAGGGACCCTGTTTGGAGGCATGGCCAGCCTGTCTTGCTGCCAATTCCAGCGACCTAGGCCACCAAATCACTGCCGGTTTGGCCGAACGGGTCCGAACTGGTAGAAACCCACCACTGGTGGAAGGTAGGTTTTGTTTAAAACTCCTGATGCCTGCACACGAAGCATGCAGTCACCAAACCAGATGTTAAACTGGCAGGATCCCACCACTGGATAGGATTGAATCTTCCCCTTTTCACTGTAGGTTTTCACTCAAGGGTTTTTCTCTCCCCCTCCAACATTAGAATGGCCCTGATGACTTTCCATAAAGCTTTAGAGACTTGGCTGAATAGCCTTGTCTGGGTCTCCACATGGGTTATGGGCTGGCTTCCTTGGATTCACTTTTAACTGGCTTAATTAGCTGCTGTATGCGCTATGTTTATTTTGGATGTTTTTGATGCTTTAAATGGTTTTTTAAATAGTTTTAGAATTGCCACCTAGCGTCATTGGTTGAGATGGACAGCTATAGAAATTGAATGAATGAATGCAACACACAGAGACAGGAAGGGAAATAGATGATATACATAGATGTTAGAAGACAGATGAAAGAGAGAGAGAGGGAGAGGGAGAGAGAGAGAGAGAGAAAGAGACGATAGAGCAGAGATGGCGAACCTTTTTGGCACCGTGCCCAAATTGGAACGCGCATGCATGTGCACATGCCGGAGCACTGGAAACCCAAAGACCAGCTGGCCGGTGTGTACATGCCTGTTTTTTTGGGGGCCATTTTCAGGCTGTTTTTCAGGCCGTTTTCTGGTGCCCACAAAGACCAGCTGGCTGGCACATCAGAAACCAGAAGAGAAGCTGGTGATGGCATGCGTGTTCACAGAGAGCTCTGCATGCCTCCTCTGGCACCCGTGCCATAGGTTCGCCATCACGGCAATAGAGTAATGCAATTAATATTTCAATCAGTTTTTCTGCACTAAATCGAAACAATGGTTCCACCTGATCAATTCACAGACTGGAACCTACTTTAGACTGGAGTGGGGGGGATGTCCAGCATGGGACTCTGGCCAATTTGACTTCTGCTCTGTCCCTTTGGAGAAGGAGTTCAAGGAGGCACAACCCCCCCCCCCCCCGGAGCCCCAATGTGTGATCTCCATCAGATGACAGATTCTATCGCTCTCCCAGACGGGCCTCTTACCTGAATGGTTTTGGAAGGTGTTTTCTGGGCCATCCGTGATTTCCAGCTGCCCTGCAGGAGAAGGACCAGCCTCATGGATTCCCTTGACCGGAATGGATAACGAGGGAATCGGAACATCAGTTTTTCTTGGAACATCCTTCCGTGTGAACCAGGTGAGACGGCTGATCTGTTTAGACAAAAACCAGGATTCAACAGAATGGCTTCCTTCCTTTCTTGCACCTTATGATTCGTGACGAATGTACACTATATTACCAAAAGTATTCGCTCACAACTGCTTCTGATTATGTGGATGGGTGAGCGAATACTTTTGCAAACATAGCGTATCTTGCCATTTTATGTACAATGAGAGCATCTGCACCAAACACAAATTCCTTGTGTGTTCAATCACACTTGGCCAATAAAGAATTCTATTCTATTCCAAAGGCATTCCACATGCAAAGGGCACCACAATTGGAGTTTGGTGCCAGCCTTAGGTTAAGCTGGTTAACTCAACAAGTTCATCAAGAAGAGATTGGGCTGCCATCTGTCAGAAATGGTGTAGGGTCTCCTGCTTGGGTGGGTGGGTGGGGGTTGGACTAGGTGACCTACAAGGTCCCTTTCAACCAGTGGTGGGTTCCGGATCCCGTTCCAACCCGGTGTCATCCACATGGACGTGCGCAGTGCGCACATGCATCTTGCCGTCCAGCGATGCCTCCACGAGCCTCTGCGACGCTCCAGCTGCTCAGCAGAGCATTGTGCAGGTGCTGTACGCGTCGTGTGCGTAAGCACTGAAGACTTTAAAGACTGGTAAGGAGCGCGGGTGGGCAGGCGGTAAGGAGCTCCGGGGAGGCTCTGGTACAGCCGTACCGGGGCGTACCGCCTGCAACCCACCACTGCTTCCAACTCTGTTCATCTTTAAACCTTATTGAGAGCGGATTTGCTGTTTTGCAGCTTACACAGAGGATGAAAGTAGCCAGAATGAATGAAATCATCAGTCCAACCCCTGCGCCTGAAGACATGCTCCACCAAGAGGCTCACAGGAGCGACCAGGGAAGGTGACTTCCCATTGCCAGAAATCGGGGCCGATGCTCCACCATCGCCATTCCAAACACGGGGCCTTCCTGGGCCCTCAGCTGGCAGTGTGGTCTGGATGGTGAAGTAAGCATGCAGAAGGTGGAGGGGAAGAGTCCCATATGTTTTTACAGCACAGCTAAAATGGAGAAAATGTAAAGGTTCTGCATACTTTTTGGCCTCTGCTAATATACTGTAGGTCTCTGCAGAACTAGCAAGTTTGCACATTTCTCTAGGTTGTATCATAGTTTTTCCTCTCTATAGAAATCCCAATTTCTAAACCTTGAGGCGTCTGATTCCTGACATAATAGCAGTCTTCCAACACTCAAAGGAAGAGGGGGACAAACTTATTTTCCAAAGCACCTGAAGGCAGGGCCAGAAACAATGGATGGAAACTAATCAAGGAGAGAAACAGCCTAGAACTAAGGAAAGATTTCCTGACAGTGAAAACAATCAACCAGCGAAACAGAAGTTGCCTTCAGAAGTTGTGGATGCTCCATCACTGGAGGCTTTTAAGACGAGATTGGATAGCCACTTGTCTGGAATGGCATAAGATCTCCTGCTTGATCAGGGGGCTGGACTAGAAGACCTCTGAAGTCCTTTCCAACTCTTCTTCTGTTACTGTCTTTGGAACAAGATCTCACTGCAAAACAGGCAGCTCCAACCAACCTATTCTGGTATTTAATGAAGCTTGAGTCTACAGAGCTTAATTCGGGGGGTGGGTAGGGAATATTTCTATTGAAACAGGCATTTGCTCTACCCATTTGGCTGACTGTTTTTCTCTACGTGACTCTTAGATCAATTTCTTAGATCACTGATTTTATTCTAGGTAGCCAGATCAGTCTAAGCAGGGCGCTAAACCATGACAGTGAAAACAGGCAGCATCCCTTTCAATGCGCATACCATTTCCTCCGGAGGGGGCTCTGTCAAGAGGCTGACAGCCACCACCAGGATGAGCGTGATCACTCCCAGGATCATGGAGAAGTAGAGATAATGCACGTATTTCACCACAGCTGGCCGGTCATCTGACTCCCCACAGCCCGGCTGCAGGTAGACGAAATCCAAAACCATCCGGATCAGGCCTATCACCATGCCAACCAAAAGGCCACAAAATGCCCCCTGAAGGAAAATCAAGAAAAGAAACCAGGTTACTTCTCTGACCCTCAACCAACTGCCCTCTTTTTAGAGCCACAAGCGTTTACAGGCCACCTGTCAGCTGCCACTGTACACTTGCTTGTATTCTTTGTTACCATACAGTGACAGTCTGTCATGGACTCTGGAGAGGGTGGATGGTAGGGGGAATGCATTGGGGGAAAGCAAAAGTAACTATTGTGTCTCCCTGAGACACTGCTTCAAGGTCACCCGGATGGAAGAAGAAGCTGCATGCCAACTACGCTTGAAATGTCCGTTCTGAAAATATCTTGTTTGAATGTGATTGGTCATGGGGGTGGGGTGGGGGTCAGGGATGGACAGCAGTTAAGGGAGGGAAAAGTTGAACTTTGGGGATTTGGCATGTGATTCTTGGTTCTGGCTATGCATTGCTGCAATACAATTGACTTCTAATAAAATTATACCTTTCTCAACAAACGGAGCCAAGGATCCTTTCAATTTAGAGCAGGGGTCCTCAAACTATTTGAACAGGGGGCCGATTCACGTTCCCTCACACTGTTGGGGGTGGTGGACCGGCTGGGTGGGCGTGGCTAGGTGGTCATGTGACTGGATGGGTGTAGCTAGGTGGTCATGTGATTGAGTGGGCATGGCATAGCAGTCCATTTTGCCTTTGTCCTTGCCATCCTTGCTCAACCCAAGGAATCTAGTTTAAGGTGACCAGATTTTCAGATTGGAAAAGAGGGGGGCTTGATTAAAAAAAATTTTTTTTGTCAAAAGGTCACCCCAGGACACTGAAACCAGCATAAATACGAATCTGTTGCCAAACAAAATTTTGATCACGTGACCATGAGGATGTTGCAACGGTCGCTAAGTGTGAAAAATGGTCGCAATGGTCGCAACGGTCGCTAAGTGTGAAAAATGGTCATCAGTCACTTTTTTCAATGCCATTGTAACTTTGGTCACTAAATGTTTTCCCCCTCCTCGAGCCTCCTCACTTCTTCCTTCATTCCTCTTGCTTATCTACCTTCACCTTATCTGTCTTCTGCTCTTTCCCTCTCTTCCTTCCTTCCTCCCTCCTTCCATCCTCTTCTTTCCTCACTCACTCCCTTCCTCCTTTTTTCTCTTCATTCCTCCTTCCATTCTTTATACGATATAAAATTCAATGAGGGTGAAACACACCAAATCTGGCAAAGCTGCCTTGCACCAACCTGGCCTGCCCATAGAATAGCAGCCACTTTGAGACACATAAACCTGGTTTGAACATATTGCATCACAAAGATTTGCAAAGATCACATTTGCAAAAAG